CATGCAGGGAGAAGCTGTCAGCAGAGCACAGGGCCCTTCCTCACTGACTGGGTCCATCATGCTCCCAGGCACCCCTCGCCTCTGTCCCCTGCCTCTAACTGTCCTTTCCCTTGATATCCCATCCCCTCCTAAAATCCTACCTTCCAGGCCTGTCCCAGTGTTGTCACCTGCTGGAAGTCTTTTCTGTCCCTGGGAGCCAATAGTCAGTGTGCTGGTAAATGTTACACCAGCTGTTAAAATACTGAGATTCTTCCCCACAGGTCAGTCAGCAGAGCTGCCCAAGCTTCAGAACTCACCCCCAATTTCTGCCTTTACCACAGAGCCCCCAGCTCCTCCCCGGGGCCTTAGGGACCTCCCACAAAGGCCAGTGACCCCTGGGAGGCTGGCACTGGACTGACCGGCAGGCATGTGGTGACGGATTTGGGCATCACCCTTGCCCACCCACACCTTCTGCCGTTGGCCTCTTCGACCCCTGTGTGGTGGGGCAGGTGTGTGAGTCCCTTCTTTACCCCTCTAAGTTATAAAGTCACTGTATCTTTCAGTCCATCTCTGTATCTCCTTAACACCCAGCCCAGTGTCTTCTACAAAAAATACACACAATATACATTCGTCAGATAAATATTTGGAAGAGGCCTCAGTTGCTACCATCATCATAAGCCCTTGTGTTCAGAAGGCAGCACGGAGCTTTGTGAGTGACATCAGATTACCCTCTGCATGGGGATAATAATCCTCTCCTACTTGTCCCTGTACGAAGAAATTCAACAGAAACTCAATCTGTTTTCAGGCAGAGCTGTACTATATCCCCTAAAGCATATTAACTACATGGAAAAGTAAGGTCTGAGACTAAACGTCCTGCTGTGGGGTAGCAGGCGGCCACTGTGCTGGCCTTGGTGCTCCTGGCCTCCTGGCATTCATGCCCTCGTACAGCCCACGTACAGTGGGCTGGGATCATCAGCTCACTTCTAATGACAGAAAAGGACAGAAGTGATGGGCCCCTGGCTGCGTCTCAGTCCCACAGTGGCAGTGGGTGTCTCGAGTGTGTTCTTCTGCTCCGTCTTGCTCTGCTCACCCCAGGGGCACAGAACCTCTTGGGGGAAGGGTCAGGCCTGGTCACAAGCACAGATCACTGTGTGGCGAGCCTTTGGGTGAGCCACCACCTCGCCGGTGGCCTGACGGCAACCTCATGGGGGAACCCCTGCCAGGATCCCCCAGCTGAGCTGTGCAGGCTCCCAGAGCATGCAGACTAAGATAACATGTTTGCTGTTTGAAGCCCCTAAGTTTGGGGCTTGTCACGTGGCCACATATAACATACACGGCTTCTTCAGAGGTCTGGTGAAAAACATCCCGGGTGGCCTCCAGGTTAACCTGCGAAGCCACAACTACGCAGCAGGTAAATAACAGTATCAGCTACTGCTTCTGGGGCACTTACAGGGGCCTGGCGCTGCTCAGAGACTCGTCAGGCACGATCTTGGGTGACTTTCTGGGGTCACTGTCAGGTGGCTCACGCACATTTTACTGGGGCAAAAAGATCCATAAGCAGCGTCCTACAGCTTCAGAAGCCTCGACCCTTTGCACTGCCCACCCCTTTGTTCGGTCAGCACACTCTTGCCTGTTCACCAGTCACCTTTCTCCCCAGGTAGGAGGGAGTCAGCGTGCTTCTGGAAGATCTGTGGCATCAGACCCAGAGCATGAAACGCCGGCTCTGAGGGGAACAGAGCCCCCTGAACCAGCCACCAGAACGAGCATTTGGGGCCTCAGGTGCTTTTAGAAGGTGAAAGTCTCTTTTTTTTTCTTAAGAGAATCTTGTCACTTTCCCCCCAACACAATTTCACATTTAACTACCCTATTCTTAAGACTTTCTGCAAAAATCACTTGCTTCAATTAAATCAAACTCACGTCTTCTTGAGCTGTTACATGTGAAGATGAAAAATGCCCTATAAGGAACCTTCCCCCTGTCCCTTCTTCCCTACAAACTCCTCAGACACCGGAAGGATCTCCACATCAAGTGTTATTAAAAAAAAAAGTGAATCAGGTGATTTATTTGAAGGTCGTTCAGGACAAAAGGTACCTGTGAACAGTTAATAACATGGTGCTGTTCTCCGTGCTTCCGGGGTGCAGGAAGGAGTGGGTCACTCTGGAAAGGGGCCAGACATCCTGCGGCATCATGCCCTCGCCTGCCCGCAGCTGTCCCAGGGGCAGACAGGGGTGGCAGCTATCCCCCTTTGCGTGGGCAGGACGCACTCGTGCCGGAGAAGCCCGCCTGGCAGCTTCCCCCTGGGCGGCCCTCCCCACGCGGTGGCCAGCGCCCCCCCTCCCTCGGGCCGCACGCCCCGTCCGAGGCGCTGCAGCGGCCTGCTTCCGCAAGGGGGCGCCCCGGAGCCCCGGGACGCGGCCTCAAATCAAGGGGCCGAGCTCACACCGGGACAGGCAACAGTAACTGCTCGGATGTCACTGGTAGTAAAGGAAATCTAGGCGCATCCTATGCATTTAGGAAACCGAGGTGGGAGGGGAGAGCCCCTGCGCCGCGGGCGGGAAGGCGGTCTGGTCGCCAGCTCCCGGCGTCAGCGCGCTCAGCCCAGGGCTCCCGGCGCGGCCTCCTCAGCCTCCCCAGACCGACCCCTCCGTGGGGCTGAGGCAGAGTCGCCCCTCCTTGAAGGCCTCCCGTCTCGCCCTGGGTCCCCACGTGTTCCTGCCCCTGTGGGCGCGCTGTGGCGCCTGCCCTGGCCCTGCCCCACCACCCCCGGGGCCTGCCTCCACCGACCTCCTGCCGGTGGCCCTGCTTCCTCGGTTCCTGCTGGTCCATCCCGGGCCTGATGAAGGTCCCGACGGCTTTCCCCGCACAGACCAGGAGTTGGGGCGAGGGCAGCCTGGTCCCCAGCTGCAGGTGGCCCTGGCCCTTGTCTGACTGGAAGGCTCCAGGCTCCTATCTTGAGCACCTGCAGCCTCCACGGCTTTTCCGCCTAACACCTTCCAGGCGAGGGAGCAGAGCTCTGAAATCTGACTGACTAGGCATCATTCCCGGGCAAATTATTTACCCAAACTGAGGCTCTGGGAGTTTATTATAAAATGTAAATAACAGCAATGTCATAAGGCTTAGAAACATCCTAAATAACAGTGAACAGCACACAGAAAGGGCCTGTGGTCCTAAAGCTACCACAGGCACAACAGGGCCTGGAAAGTGCCCCAAGTCCAGCGGACCCCAGGGCTCCTGCCCCCCAGTCACACATGCTGTCATGTACCTGTGAGAGCAGGGCCACCACCCGAAGCCACAGGGGAGGCCCAGGAAACCACCAGCTGCTCCCAGCTGCGCTTGGAGCAGTGGTGCCCCAGGAGGCCCTGGCCGGCCGGGAAGCCAGCTCTGAGGCAGGGGAATGGTGCTTAGGCCAGGGTGCAAAGACCCCAGTCCCCTTTGCTCCTGTCATTGATCACTGTCCTCGGCAGGGTCAGGACTATCATATTTGAAGGGGCAGTGTCCTCCCAGAGACCACAAAACCACAAACTAGCTGGGGTCTCCACTCAAGGGCTCTAACACAGGGACAGGTCGGTCTGGAACTTTTGGTCTTATTTGTGAAAATATATGTGAACTCCACCCTTCCCCCCTGCCCCCACACACATACATGATAGATAAGTCAGTACTGGAAGACTAAGCAGGAAAACACAAAAGAGAAAACTCGTGGCCAGGGCCTGTCATTCTCCTAGAAATCCTTCCAGTACACTTACCCCCAGGCCATCCAGTTTTCTAGAAGTCTCAGGGTAGCCGCAGTGGTTTAACACTGTTTCTATCTCTTGAAAAACTGCTCCGGACCTTGGTTGTCTTTTGCTAGTTGAACTGCACAATCTGGGGAGCAGTTGCCTAAAGACCCTAGTGTGGCTTGTTTCTAAGCACCATTTCCTTCTCTCTCTTTTTGCCCCCAAATTAAAAATGCATAAATGCTAAAAGCACATACAAAACATGTCCCAAGGCTATTAGTCTTAACACAACAGGCAGAGGGAAACAAACCCCAGAGTGTTGGGGCCTCTAGACATTCCCCACACCCCCAGCACATTGGGGACTTTGCCATCAAGCCCTGCCCCCTCCCATCGCCACCCCACATGCCACCAGACGCAGGGACTCTTGTCGTCTTATGAACTCTCCATGGCCTTCCATCTTCCATATCCTGAACTCTAGGATTTTGTCTACCTCGCTACCAAAAGCAATGTGATGTGAGCAGCCCCCGGTCTATCTGGGGGGTTTGTTCCCAGGTGCAAAACATGCCCCCCATTCTGGTGCAAGTGGTCCCAGCCTTTGCTAGTCCCGGGCCAACACACATCGTAATTCCTGCTGGAACCTCAGCCCCGCTGATGACCTAATTCAGTTATCTGATCTGGGTGCAACCATTACACGCCTGGATATTTTGAAACGTTTCTAAAGGTGACAAAAATCAATTGAGGACACCCTGTCCCTAAAGCGTGTAAGAAATCAAATGAGTTGGAGGAAAACAGAATTCCATATTTATTCTGAATTCTGCAGCTCAAACTCTGTCACTTAGAGATTCAATATTCTTAGGCCTATGAAGATGAAAATTCAGAGGGCGTGCTGCCTGTCGCTCGGGAAGCAGGAGAGCAGAGGTGAGAATCTGAGATGGCATCAAGCTAGAGGAGTTCCATCCAAATCTACCTAGGAGCTGTGTGACTCTGAGCAGATTATTTAAACTCTCTTACCACTTACTTTTTTAAAACGGAAGGTGTATATTATCCACTCATTAATTATGTTCCCCTAAGGGTTTAATAAGCACATTTATGCAAAATGCCTATCACATAATAATTGCTGAATTTTATTTTTGCTCAAAAGCAGATGTTCACTTGATTCCAAGCAGGAATGAAGGGCAGCTAGTTAAGAACATTTCATTAAGTGGAAACTCCATTTGTGTTGCCAAAATCCTGAGTGATCAAGAGAAAAAGGCAAGTTACGGTGTGAACACTAGAAATGTTTGAGGGGGGCAAACGCGCATACAACTTACCCCTAAAACCCCAAAGCGCTCAGCCAGACTCCAACCACAGAGAAAGTCAATCTCAAACTTGTGGTTCAGAACCACGATGGCATTTTCCTTCCCGTATTTGGGGTAGGCCCGGGGGTCTGTGTGGATGACGCACTCCGTGCCGGACCACCACTCCAGCAGCATCACCAGCTCTGGAACAAACCACAACAGACAGACGTTTACTCACGCGTCCTTCGTGGCCCAGCTCCGCTGTGCTGTGGGGCTGGGGCAGAGACCGGAGACTAGGGCTCAAATTCCGGATCATCCCAGTCCAGACCCCATCCTTGAATGGTTTGGGAAGGAGAAGGACAAATAAGAGGACTCCACAACAGTGTCCAGGGAAGGAGAGGAAGCTTTGAGAAGGCAAATGACCTGCATTCCTTGATTAAGTATCCTGGGGAAAAGTAAGTCAGAAAGCTTGAATCCGTCAGGAATTCCTGCGCCGTGTGTGCAGAGCTCTGAAAAGCAGTGTGAGATGATGCACAGAACACTTGAGATTCTGAGGAATGACTTATTGGGATATTTATCAACTCCATCAAAGCACACAAACCCCGTTTTCTTGTCCCATGTGTGACACTTGAGTGCACCAGGAATCACAAAGAGCCTGGTGTGAAGGAGCAGAAATACCATCACCTGAAGGGCATTACACCAGAGGCCTGAATGAAACTACTAACACATTCTTTTTAGGAGCTTATGAAAATAGAAAAAGTCCTTTTTTCAGGCAAAAATGACCCATTTGACTTTATCTTTCAGTGACACCTTTAATCCAGGTGACCAGTTTCCAACTGGAGAGCTCAGGAGAAACCTATGTGGTGGAAATTGTCCAGAGAAACCATTGTGTGTTGGTGATTGAAACTGTAAGCTCTCTAGCAGCCTTGCCATGAAATCTGAAAGCTGTAGGTGGCCTGCAGGTGGGTGAATGGGAGTGTGACATCCCTTCTGTTCATCACCAGTTAGTGGGGGACACATTCTGCAGGGTCCCAGTCACTCACTCATCACCCACCCACTATATACACACACACAAGCAGGTGTGGTCTTGATGCCAGCCAAGCCTCATGTTTTAGAGGCCCAAGTGGCTGCCCCTGGGGACCTTTCTCCTTGGGGCTGGAGACTGATGTTTGGAACTTCGGCACCAGAATTCTCTAGAAGACATTACAGTTTAGTTTCCAAGCAGTGGCACTGTGGGATGTTGGACAAGTGAACATCACAGGGTCTTAGTGTCCTAATCTTTAGGATGGGGTGCTTCACAGGGTTTTGGGAGAACTGAAGTGTCTAACACACAGTAGGCACATACTACATGCATAGTATATAGTAAGTTCCTGGTGAATCCAGGACTTCAGTGTCCAATGATATTACAAACGAAGCAAACACTCCCCTTACTTGATGATGAAAATGTCTCCTATTCGTAGGAGTTGAGTATATGCCACACCCCCAGTTAGTTATCCCACTGGTGGTGACATTGGCACAACCAAGAAGTGGCAAGTTGGGGAACAAAGACAAGGGTTCAGGGAGAGTATGAGGGGCTGGAGCGCAGCCATGTGTCCCCACTGGCTAGGACAAAGGGATAGTTCATTACCACGGGGTAGAAAGTAGCTTCTATTGCTGCACTGATTTCTTCCAAGCAATGTGGGGGAGTGGGTGGCATGGCCCTTCTATCCCGGGATGGCTGAGGTGTGGGTAACTGCAAGGGAGTCAGCCACACCCTGCCATCATTTGGCAAATACCTCCTGAATGCCTCTGTGCCCTTCTGCTCTCCCAAGGCCAGGCTGTGCCTCCAGGTCCCACCTGCCTGGCACCCTTCAGACGCTGATCCCAGCTGGCAGTGATCTCCCCAGTTACAGAGCATGAGCCCCATGAGGCAAGGCTGCTCAAGTCCCGTAACCCTAGCCTGGCCTCCAGATCCCAGCACAGAGCTGCACATTTATGTTTTCAACATGCATGGTGGTGACCTGTTGTGTGCAAGCTCAGTGTGAGGTACTGGAGATGTGACTCCACACACATGGGTCAGACGTGCGCCCCCCCCTAACCCCAGTCACCACACGGAGCCAAGACGGTCATGCTCACAGGGCGGCGCCAGAGGAAGGAAAGGTATGTTTATGCTGGGTGTTGCTGAATATTGTGCTGATGGATTTAGGATCACACACACCCAAGCTCCGATCCTGGTGGTGCCACCACTGGTCATGAGACTTAGCATAGTTCTCAATGTCCCTTAAGCCTGTGTCCTTGTTTGTAAAATAGGGATAAGAAAGGCTTTTAGAGGCACTGTGTGTATTAAATCATAATAGTAGTCAAGGCAACTAGGGTAATGTTGCACATAGTAGGTCTTCAGGAAGTAGCCAATCTTTTCTTACCATTATATGCATGGTGATTTTGTAGCACATGAGGCTCTGTGACCACTGGAGGGGAGAGGGAAGGGATGCGGAAAGAAAGAGACAGAGACAGATGAGTGTCACAGCCACTTCTGGATTGGGGTAAGGAGTTATGACTTACGATTTCATAATAAAAGCAGTGAGAAGTCACTGGAGCATTTTTAAATAGGAACATAGCAGCATCAGATCTGCATTTTGAAAAGATCACCATGGCTGAAGTAAGAAGTTTGGAAGAGTTGCAGAAGCAGGCAGCCCAGGTAGGAGGCGACTGCGGCAGCCCGGTGTGAGGGAAGGTGGCTGGACCAGGCAGAGGACAGTGGGGAAACAGGCCCTCAACAGGCTGTTAGCCATACAGCTGAATTTTCAATCCCACTTCTTAGGAGAGTTTTCCTTCCCTTTTCTCTTTCACCAAAGGCTTTCAGCTTTATTCTATTCAGAATAAAACAACTATAAAGTCACATTGTAAAAGAATTCAACCAATCCAGTAATATAGAGAGGAAAATGTGAAATTCCTCTGATGGCTTTGTAATGTGTCAGGAAGGCTGGGCTGGGCTCCATTCCCCAGAATCCCCTTTCTTGTTTGTTTCTAGTTGGTGGGGGGAGGGGGGGTACTAGATGCAATCATGTGTCATGATTTATTTAGCCATTCTGCCACTGATTGGCATTTTCCCCTTGTTTTTCACTGTTACAAATACTACAACACACGTCCTTAAAGATGCATGAAAATAAAAAAACATTTGTGAAAGTATTTCTCCAACATAGGTATATTGAAAGTGGAATTATGTATTGAAGAATATGCATATTTTAATATGTTATGCATATTTCCAAATTATTTTCCTTAAAGATCCTATCAATCTATGTTTGAATCAACAGTGTGGGAGAATGTCTTCCCTCCTGCCGTCTGGACCAACACTTTGAAGGCTGGGACCAGGTATGTCCTTTCCCTGGAAGTCTGGGCAGAGTACTTCTCATCAGCTCCCTGCTGACCACCTCCAGGTGGCACTAGTCTCATCTTTGACTCACCCCCATCCTTGCCCCAACATCCAACACAGGGCAAGGGCTCAAAAAGCTTATGCCTTTAGCTGAGTGGCTTGCTGGCTGATGTTTTCGTTGGGTGTTCCTTTACAAATAACTGCATACAACATACAAATCTCTCCCCGAATGGAAGCTTTGTTTACCCTCCTGTGTGGCCCCTCAATGCCATAGTCCTGGGCCTGGCTCAGGCCATCTCTGACTGCCAGCCAGGCCACCTTTCATACTGACAAACATCTGCTGAATGGAGCTGCTCCCACCCAAGGTGAGGCATCTGCCATTCATGTACCACCTCAAATCAATGTCAGGACTATACAACTGCCCAGGGCTCAGGGCCTGCAAGCTCTCAGCCCTCCTGCTCTGGGCTCTCCAAATGAACATGTTTCAGCCTGTCCGGCCCACGGTAACCATCTGCCCTGGGGGGTGGCAGATCTCCGAATTGCTCTAACCCTCTCCCTCTATGGAATGGCAGTATCTTTTCCTTTTAAAGGACACATTCTTTGGAGCCTATAATTTAGCTTGGAAAGTTGCCACATCCTGACGGGGGGTACTATGGGCAGGCGAGTGGGGCCAAGGAGGCCCAGGAGAAAGCAGAGTCCTTCTGTTATTTAGGGGCGAAAATCACTTGTCAAGAGCTTCAGATTTCAGTCCGATCAGCTAGCGGTTACTAGGCCAGGAGTCACCCCGCAAATGCTACCAGCAAAGATAAAAGTCTTTGCCCCAAAGCATTTACCTTCTTGTTTGTGTACCAGGCTAACCCACATTAAGCAACTAGAAAAAAAGCAATTGAAGCTTTTACCCAATAAGAACTGGGACCACTAGTTGGGCAGCTAATTGAAAAAAGTACAGCCAGGAATTAAAACAACATATCAAATCAAAATTGAAGCAGAAGAAGGGGGAGGGGGCAGGGGCTCCTTCTGACACCCGGAGGGCCCTGAGGCTTCTATGACCTGTCCTGCGAGGGGCTTAGCAGTGAGGCCGGGAGGGAAGGAACTGGGCCGGTGAACCCGGCGATTCGCCAGCTCCTGGGCATCCTGCAGGATGGGGAAGACCGCCGTAACCCGCGGTAGCGTCCCGGCCTCCTGGATGAGCAAGCGCGTGTCCGGCTATGGACCTGTCCGTTCAGTGTGCCCCGACGCGGCCTGAGCTCGGGCGCAGCACAGGCTGTAGGCAGGCGCCGGAACACAGGACTGCTGAGGCCTGCCCGGCGAGGCCACTGGGAAGGCGCCTGGCCCCTGACATCTCCAAGGTCAGGCCCCCTGGGGATGTAGATGTTCTGCTGACTCACGCTCTGGCTTCCCAGGCCTGGTCCTGCTGTGCAGCGACTGTTCAGGGAGCCGACGAGATTGCCACCCTGAGGCTGAGTCATCCACGGGGCCTGGTGGCCCTGCTGCCCACGAAACAGACAAGGCCAGGGGAGGAACCACAGAAAGCCCCCGAGTGTGGAGAAGCCCTCACCCCTCAGCGTCGCCCTGGGAGCTCCTCACTAACGGAGCGATCGGGTGGCCCTGCACCTTCCTTCTTGCTCAGTCCTTTAAGACAGGCAGCAGCCACGAAAGCCCCCCACTAACAGCATGGGATCCCCTGGGCCCCGCCTCCGCCCAGGAGCCTGCGGTGGGGCGGAGTTGGGGCTCCAGTGGGCCTGTGCCCCTGGCGGCCTCTCCCAGGAAGTGGGTGGTCACTGGGTCCCCACGGGATGGAAGATGGCTGCGGGGTCACACACAGGTCACAGCTGCCCCCCAGCTTCCTTA